GTGCGTGCGTGCGTGCGTGCGTGCGTGTGTGCGTGCGTGCTATGGAAGACAAGTTTGACTTCTGTGTACACAATTTAAAAGAAAATTATAGCTTCATAGATGAATAGTATCTTTTTTAAAAGTGTTCTTTAAAGTCTTACACTAAACACTTGGTACATACAAATCTGTCCCACTGAAAGTTATTTTTGCAAATAGTCTCCATAAAGTATATTTCTAGATCTTACTGCAAAAACTAGGTTGGGGATAGTCTCCAAAACAGGATAATGCATCAATAAAGTCCTTTAAAAATATTACAAAATGCTTTAAAATTCATTTTTTGTACGCTCACTTATGGGTTTAGTGGCTCTCCTCTTGCAGAAAATCAGCAAAGCTGCTGATAAGAAGGCGATCAGGACAATCACAAACAGACCCGCGTATAGCAGCAGATCTACAGGAGTTGAACAGAACAGACTTAGTTTATTTAGTTTAAATACAGCATGTGGCCGTGGGCCAGTTCATTTAGCCACAGTGTTATGTGAATTCATGTGCTTGCATGTTCACAGTAAGCAGGTATTTTCCTTATCCATTCAGCACCAACACATACAACAGCTCATTAGGTAGAGAGAAGTGTTCACTTAATATTACTTAAAGCATAGTTGCTCCTACATGTCCACCTTAAGATGAAAACTATAAAGAGAAGTTTTTTTTGGTTTTAGGCATGATTATCTACTGCTGTGCTTCCTCATTTTAATTAAAGTATTCATTAATACCTACAGTTCAAATGAGGCTTTTTGTGTGCTATAACTGCTGTACTCACAATTGTAAAAATAGAAAGATTAGAAGATTAGAAGTACTGCACTTTTTCTACTTGTATGTTATTTCAATTTAATGTATTCTTACTTCTAACACAATTATTCCTTTGTGGGTATGTGACACATTCTAATAAACTCATGCATAATTTAAATAGACCCATCTACATACATGCAAATATAAATGTACCTGAACTTGCAGGTTGGGTGGGAAAGTGTTGGAAAGCTTCAGTGGAGGATGATGTAGCAGTGGAGTTTGAACTCTCTGGTGTCATCTTCATTGTTGGTGTGGAGGCTGATGGGACAAATGTTTATGTTGAAAAAGGTTTCAGAATTAAATTTAGCATTGAAACACTTGAAGCTATCAATAATGAATAATGCAGCTAGTTAACTGACAGGTTAACTGGAGGTTCATTAATATTCTTTTAGTGAAACACGTACAAGAAAGTAATAGTTTGGGCTTCACAGCAGAACTGATAAAACTGCATTTTTACAGTTGATATAATATACAAAGGTTATTTGAATAAGGTGTCAGTAAGTATTTGGACAGGTATGAACAAACATTTTCATGACATTCAGCAGAAACTCACCTTCTTTGACAGAGATCTGAAATTCATAGTTTGAATCAAAAAAATCTACACCCATTCTGCCCAAAGAGCACCTGTACACTCCCGAGTCAGACACTTCCAGCTTTGTGATGCTCGCATACATAATTGTCTTAGTTCCTAGAAAGCTTCCTTCTTTATATTCAATGCTGTATCTGCCTCGTTGAGCTGTGTCCTCTGTTGTTTCAATGAGAATTTTTCCTTGTTCACATTTTTCCTTACAGAAGAGCCTCAATCTTCCAGACAAAGAAAATGAACAGCCAACTGTGATGTTTCCTCCCTCCCTTTCTGCATGGATGGGAATTTCAGCAGTAGCAAGATCAGCGTTTCCATCCTGAAGTGCTTCTGAAAATGCAAACAATCAGTAATTACGACATGCCCAAAATAATTTAAAACACCTTTATAAATTAAATTGAAGACCAAAAATTATTTGAGCAGATCGAACATTTTCAGTTTCAGTTAAATTCACTACATTTTTATTGATTTTGAATTTGCAAACACAGCTCCATGATTCTTCCTGACATCAACACAAACCATCGGCTGATGAAAACTCAGAACCTTACTTTAAAAAAGCTTGAAAGCTGGACTTTTTGTGTTTCTGATTAAATCTTCTTTTGCTTTCTTTGAATGTGAAATGGAGGTTGTGGATTTGTTGTTTAACATCTGAAGATTTCCGTTAACACGTTCATGTTGTGCTTTTTAAAACTGTCACGGTTCTGGGTCCGTTGGACCCAGTGTTTTGAGTTTATTATGTTTTGGTTTATTTTTGCATTATGGATTGTTTTCTGATGTTCTGGTGCTTTGTTTATTATTATCATTATAGACCTGTTTCTGTTATTCTTGGTGAGGGATCAGTTCTTAGGTTTTGGGTTCTCATGTGTGTTGCAGTTTCTGTTCAGTGTCTAGTCTGTCTCTCAGTGTCATGTCTGCATCTGGTTTAGTAATTCTTGTTTCCTGTCTTATTGTGAAAGTCTTTGTCTTATGTTAGTGTGTGCAGCTTAGCTCCCCCGTCTCGTTAGCCCTGATCTCCCCCAGCTGTGTCTCCCTTCTGTTGCCCATTCCCTCATTACTACCCTGTGTATTTAAGCCCTGTGTTTTCCCATGCTCGGTGTCGCGTCGTACCGTCAGATCCTGCCTGTGTGTTCTAGTTAGTGTTTTCATGTTTGGTTTCTGTTTTGTTGGTGCCAGCAATAAAGCTGTGGTTTTCAGTTATCTTTCCATCTCAGAGTCCTGCACTTGGATCCACATCTCCACCTCCCCACACACAGAGCGCTGACAAAAACAATGGAAACGACTCTCTAAGATAATTTTTTAAATATCCTGCGTATTTGCTAAAGCAGTAAGTCTGATGCAGCACTTCTAACTCTTTATAGCAGAAAAGGCAACGAAAAATTGATCTTTTAAAAAAAGAAAAACATTTGGGTAATTCAACAAAGATGAAACTATGATTAGAAGGCCAATGTCTAACGAGAGATCTATTGTGAAACTAAAAATATATCTTTAAAAAAATATTTTTGTGCTAAGAACTTATTTTCTCCATACATTTATATTTTTAAGCAGTTAAATTGTGTTGTTGGTGAGCTATGTGTGGAAGTGACCTTTTCCCAACTCTTAACCACGTGTTTAACCGCAGAAACCAATAACTTGTAAGCGAGAGGTGACAATAATGAGCAAAACAGAATAAACCATTTAAACTGTTCAGCAAGTTGCAAAATGAATTCGTTAACACCACATAGAAATAAAATAATAATAAAAGTGATAAAACAAGTTAAATAAGAAAATTTACTCACGAATGAAGATGAAACAGACCAAACTGTGACACAGTTTCATATCGAGGCTGTGATGAGTAACTGCTTCCTCTCTTCCTTCTTTACTTAGAAAAAAGGAACATTCGACTTCCTGTTTTGCAAGAATGATTTAGTCTAATTTTATGAAAAGGTTTCATTAACTACAGACAAAAATTAAATCCTTTGTTTTGAATGTAAAACAAACCAGAACTAGTTTAAGTAAAAGTGCATTTCAGTGCATGCTTCAGCTGTTGCAATGTTTGTTCATTGCCCCTCATTGGTTTTGTTTCAGTCCTGATTTTAGCTGATATTTGTGCAAAATTGTGAGGTTAACCACAAACAGTGATATTGTCTTTTGTAATAAAACCATGATAATTTACTACTCACACAGGGTTTTTACCGCTCAGAAATTTGACACCGGAAGAAACCTTAAGTTGAATCTAAAGGTTAACTATGTTGGCACATTAGAAAAAGTGTGTGTAGGTTTGGTGGCAGAGAAAGTCAACGAGGTTACACACAGATGAACAAGGAAGGAGAGGTGGCAGTTTAAACTGTCACATGAGAGATGACCTACAATACTGAGACACAGAGACTAGAAGGATTTCAGAGTCTGCCAAGTTGTCCAGGTGAAGTTTAAGATGAGCATGTGCAGTTTCTAATGTTCTCATGTTCTTTTGCAAGAACATGAGATTGTACGCTGTGCTTAACACTCGCAGGTAAGTACTCATGACTGCATGTGCCTTTGTTCTGCAAGGAGATCTTACCTGTCATGAGCAAACCAGTCTTCCATACTTGCCTGTTTTTTTTTTTAGCATGCTTTTCTTTTTGTACTTTCACTTTGTGTTGGACCATGTCCCATGTTCCTGCACACTGCACAAAAACATATATTAGTGTCACACATTGTGAATACCCACAGTGGCATTGAAGTCAAGCACTTGTGGTTGCAACATGCCTTAGGTTGTCCCAAGGTTGTGCAGGTGAATCTTACCTGTGATGGCTTCACCAGCTTCCATACTTGCCTCTGAAAATGTAATAAGTGATTTATTCAGCTCTTTTGGTCTCAACTGTGCCAAACATGTTGCGTAGCAGGTTATGTTCCAGATTAGAAATCCACAGATATTAAATCGTCACGAACTGACTGATTGGATCATTGGAAAAAGCATCTCCATTCCTGGAAGATCCCTCAGGCCTCTGTGTGTGTACAGCAGGAGGGTGTAAAGTTTTCCGGTGGGAAAATATGGTTAGGAGTAAGGTGGACATCATAGACATTAATGTCTAATCAGGGAAATGTGCTGGACAATAGATGCTAGTAGACAATTGTGTCTATTTTCTACCACTTTCCCATGATTATCAGTAAGAAATATATAGTCTTCGAGGAAACTTTATTTTTTCCTGTTGGTTCCAAATATTTTGTTTGTTCTCTAAGCACAAGTACATGACACTAAAACAGAGTACTTGTTTGTACTTGCTAAACTTACATCCAGTTTGCATGTAGACTAATTTTTAATTTTGTTATTTATTCTTTACTTACTCTCAAACTATTAAACACCACCGAGGATTCAGATGAGAGAATAAAGTAGTGCTACATTTATATCTAGTCTACATCTAGTAGATCTTCAGAGAGTACTTCAAGTAATCTTGGTAACCTTGCAGTAGCTTGGTTTCAAGCTTCACCGTGATCCCATCTTGCAGGTCAGTTCCTCTCACACTCAAAGCTCCTTCTTCCATCACTCTTGGGGCTTGTTACCCGATTTTGGGTGGGGGTGGTTATATTGTTAATGGACTGATTCATATATAGCACTTTTTTACTCTCCTGGAGCGCTCAAAGCTCTTTATGCAACATGCCACATTCACCCATTCACACTCAGTCACACATGCACTTTTTTAAGTGCTCACTAACTGTTCTTCTAAAAAATGTAGCTTGATCTCTGATCCTTTAAAGAAAGTTCAATTCACCTTCATTATTAGCTTCAAGGGTCTCTAGACCCAAATACAATATTGCATTTTATATTTGATTTCAGTTAAATTTTAATGGTGTTTTAAAACTTTGAAGTCCTTAAACTTACTACTATGCAGTTTATTATGTTGCCAGAGTCGCTGAAGACCAGTGTTGGGCAAGTTACTTTGAAAAAGTAATTAATTATAGTTACTAGTTACTTCTTCAAAAAAGTAACTGAGTTAGTAACTGAGTTACAATATTCTAAAAGTAATTAATTACTTGAAAAGTAACTATTGCGTTACTTTAAAAAATGTTTAAAATGTTTAAGCCTCTGGGGTCCAGGGGCCATTTTTAACTACTTTTGATTTTCCCTCCACATTTCACCTTTAAAAACAGTTTATTTGCCTTGTTTGGTATCATCCTTTTCAGCGCAACCTTGTGTGTCTGAATAAAGAGTTGTGTTTTCATTTTGACATACTGTAATAACACAACTGATCTAAAATCAGACAAAAAAACCATAAAATCAGAGTAGAAAAAGTTATATTTTTTATCGTAACAACCACAAACATGTTTATTGAATCATATTTCATAACTTTAAATGCAAATACAAATTGTCAATTTTAAAATCATATGCACAAGTTTTGCAAACAACAAAGTTATTCATTTACCTTTTACCCTTTTTTTTAAATAACCATTTCAAACTATTTACAGAGCAATCAGCTGTTCTGCATTCAATAAGACACACAAATTATTTGTGCCACTCCAAAAACACAATTTCTGTCCACTATAAAGGAGAACATCACAGCCTGATACCTGCAGGTCTGACAGCAGCAGGTGTATCACTCCTGTTTCTACCTGGAGACAGCAGTCGCC